CATAATCGTGTAAAATTCACGGACGGTGCGCCGGAACTGCGCCATTCGCCGAGTGCGCGACGTAAACGCCTCGTTGAACTTGTCTCCATGAGCTTACCTGTCTAGGAGCTTTGAGACCTGCTCTAAGCTCCACCCTCCAGCGGCTCTGAGCGGCCAGTGACGTCACAGGACGGTCTGATGATGACGTCACTCCGGATGTGGAGCTATTCAGGCGAGGATTGGCACACATACGCATGCACAATCCGAGTTTCCTGTCGGTGAAACAGCATTGAGCCAGTCAGTCGGTCTTTGGCGGTGAAGCAGGAAAAACAAGGTAGGCATTAGTGCAAGCTAATGTTGACTTGTTAAGTTTCATTTGTAGCGTTTAACCCGTTAGCTAACCCGTCATCGGTAAGTTTATGCATAGTTAATTTTGGCATTTTTCTTCGGATTTCTGTTCCAATCTACCTACGACTCGTCTAACTTCGTCATTCGTGTTCCCTCCACAAATCTGTGCCTTGAAGACCTGTCCCAATCGGTCTCGGCCTTCGATCAAGCATCTCTTCATTTGGAGTCGAGTTTCCCGCGTGAATGATTTTGAATGGGCCCGCACTGTCAGCTCGTGTCAGAGAGTTTCTTTCGGCGACCCGAGCGTGTGACCCTGGCTCGCGGAGAGGTTTTCCACTGGTGCGTTTCCGTATTTGGTTCCGCTCTTCAATTCCCAGATTCGTTTGTGTGGTGGTATTGGTGAAACTTGCCGTCTTCTCCAATAGCTCACCGTCCAGTGTTATGTCGGTCTTCGTATGCGCTATCTCGATCATCTCGCGATAATCTATCCATTATATCGGCGGTGGTACCAGATCTGTTTTAGATAGGAGGCACTATGCATACGTTGAATCGGTAAGCTTCTGTTGCTGTCTAAACTAACTTTGGGCTTGCTGTATGTTGTCAGAGAATATTTGCATATGAATTAAATCGGCTTGAATATAGTATCAGAAAGCTTGCATCAGATTACAGCATCTAATTTTCACATCCCATTTAGGCCAAAGTAATTTACCATGGCACTTGTCCTTTCTGTTCTGTCTAAGTCACTACGAATGTTACAATTGAGACTTCCTGCTGCCCATTAACCAGTCTCCTGTTTACCGTCTGTCGTAGTTCTATGGCTCTAGCTCTATAACCACGGCCCCGTTAAGCCCTTCCTGTTGCCTATCTACCGACAGTGGCCTCCTGTTTACTGTGGGCCGACTGTGCCGCCATTCCGACTGGTACTGATACCATCTCCTCGCGTGGCAGTGGGTCCAGTACCGCCGCCCGCGACCCGTTACCTCCCACCGGAGCCGGGCCGGCCCATCTGGGTGTGTCTGGGTCATACTGTACCCATGGCTCTACTCATACACCAGCACTCATACCTGTGCGGCTTTTTGTTCGCGTTGTGCGCTTTGAAATAAGCAATTAATATGGTCGCCTAATTAATATCTATTCCCGAATGTATAACTTTACGTTGATCATGTGAGAGACAACGACGCACGCTTGTCATTTCATGAATACTTCTTTGATTTCTACGACTCCCTAGGCCTAGACGCTCCATCTCGCCTGTTTTCGTAGCTGGCAGTCGACCGCGCACGTTCATTCCCGTACGCACACCAGCCTGAATTACATTACGTGACTGGGTAGCCGGCTGCACTGATTGCGTCCGCAGGCCTATTTGAACTCGTTAGGGCCATTGTGCACGGAGCACACGGCCGGACCGAGACCTTGAGAGGGCGGACCGTCTGGGGCTCACGGCTGGGAGGGAGGAGGGAGGCTGTCAGTGTCCAGCGCTCGTGAGAGTTGGTAATTGGTGGGCGTCTCCCCGGCGTCATAGGCTGAAGAGCCGTCACAGACTGATGGGACTTAGCGGGCTTCGTTTGGCTTCGGTGACCGGCGGTGGTATCCCTGGCTGTCAGCTCAGGCTGGCGTGGGATGCCGACTGACCGCTGTGACTGCTCTTGGAGGGGCTCTGGCGACCGCTGGTGTGACCGTCGAGTTCATTGAACGCATCAATCAGCTACCTGGCGGAAACCGTTTCGGTGTGGCCAGTTATCAATAAGTATCGTTTGGATTCAGTCCATTGTTGCACTTCTATTCCTTTATTTTTTTTATTGTCATCGCCTCCATGATAAACCACGACACAAATGATGTGTGAATTTTCATTTTCCATGGATATGCCCGCTTTTAGTTTGATTCTGTCTCTTGCGGATTCCAATCCAATTACCTCCTCAGATTCATCTCGTGCCTTTCAACTCGACCATTCGCTCCACATTTCTCCCTCAGACCCAGACATAACCCAGGCAGTCATCACCCCCCCCCCCCAGACGTCTGACCAGGTGTGGTGAATGCTTCCGTGTGCGACCCCGGTGCCTCATCCCACCGAGGCGCCACGCCAGGTGTTCCACATCACATCCCACCCAGACGCCGCTCGGGATGGATCGACGCTCCCTGAATACTCCCTGGAGGCTCCTGGGCTCGTCTAGGTCGCTCGCCGCTGTGGCGTGGCTCCCGCAACCCATTCGCCCGCCGCCGCCCCTGGCCGCGCGCCGCCGCAAGGCAGTCGTTGATCGATGTAACAGGAACGTTGGACCGCCTGCTGCGTGGCTCTACTCGCTGATGAGAAAATTGAGACGCAAACTGGCTGTGATTTAGTGCGCTTCCGATACACAGCCAAGGGCTATGCACATGTGTATTGTGTAATTAACTCAAAGTTATGACGGGACCAAGATCTCGATGATTTTGAAGCTGTTAAAACTTAAAGCATATGTAAGGCACGGTGGAAGATATGTTTTGTAAAGCATATCCGTAATGATATTTTGTAATTGTCAAGGGGTGATTTAATCGGCTATTTGTCAGTGCATTTGTCTCGTTCCACGTTGTTGAAACATCGTGCCGCGGGCCGGTACAAGCTGCCTGCAGTGACACAGGTGTCAGTGGGGCTGCTGATAGAGGTGTACCGACCTCACCTCATCAGCCCCGCCCCCGCCCCCGCCCACGCCCCGGCCGGGACTTGTCTCCGCCACCGGGCGCCCCGCCGTCTGACGGAGACGGAGCGCTGGCCGGACCGGCAGCACCTCCTACCTCCAGCCGTTAGTCGCCTGCTGCCGCCGCCAGCCGCCTATACCTCCACCAGCCACCGCCATCCGTTAGCCGCCTGCTGCCTCCGCCAGCCGCCGTGCTGTCTGTCCAAGATGGAGCGACTGCCAGTAGGACATCGTTACACAACATCGTACATTACACAACATCGTACCCGATTGCTGCTGCCCGGGGCCCGGACACCTGGTGACTATGTCCGGAGGGCTGCTCGGCGGGCTGCTGGCGGGGCCGTCGTGACCTGTGGCCAGGTGGTTTTACTTTGCACTTAATTTTCGTGTTAATATTTCCTTTTTGTGTGTTAATTTGTGTTTATGTTTTGTGGGAAAGGCGCTTTGATTTAAGCATTTTGCTTTTGCGCCGATCCGCGATTATTTTTTCCGATGTTTTTCGTTCTTGGTTACCAAAATACACTGAATGAATGAATGAATGAATGAAAAGGAACGGGCGCACGGGTTGTCTGCGGATGGTGGGGAAAATGAGGGCAGGGCTGGTGGTCAGGACCCCAGGGATTCTTATGTGGTAAAGGCCACACCGTCTGTTTTTGGGTAGAATGTAGGAAACAAGGAATCTCAGGTCAGGTGATCGTAAATGGAGCAGACGAGACATTACAGATTGAGAATGTTTATAGTCAACCTATCACACCCTTTTACTTAGAAGCCACCTCACAAACGCCCAGAGCTGCATCGGCTATTGGCGGCTTTATAAGCCACCGTTGACCACCACAGCATGCAACTCCCACGAGTTGTTTCGGTTGGGCGTGCCGCGGGTGCCTTAATTCTCAGGGTGATTGACTCTCACGAGTTCGAGGTCCCCCGAGGCCGTGACAGGCGCTGGGGCGACGCCCTCAGAACCAGCAGTCTAGCGCCGCTCGTCACTGTTGATGTAACGAGCTTTTAGCATTTCCACAAAAAAAAAAAAATGATTTGACACAAATTTGCAAATGAAGGTCTAGCTTTGAACCGTGACATTTTTCCTGGCGATGATTCTTTCACGTCCATTCATGGGACTTTGGCCTGTTGCCAATACTGTGACTGGGAGTCGAGTTTGTCGACCCTGCTGTTCGCAGTGGTGTAACCCACAATGATTTACCTTCCTCTCTAAACTGCACATGACCAGGCGACCAAACGAGCTAGCGCGGTGCCGCCGGAGCGCCGCCACCCGTTTCGTGACAGACCTCATCGTGTGTCCGAAACTGACCGCAGACTGCGCGCGGCAGCGGCGGTTACCATGGCAACGAGACTGGGCCGAGAGACTCGCAGTCTATCGGCCCCTTTCGCCGGTGAGGCGTGAAAGCCGCCGAAATGAGGCAACCTGTGTGTGAAAGACCTCCGCCCCGGGCCTGGGTAAAAGACCCCAGGAATCCGCCGCGAAAGGCGCCTGTGAATAGGCTGAGAGGAAGGACGACGGTTTGTCCAATGAGGAAGAAACCGGCGGGAAAATTGGCGTCGTAGTGTGGGTACGATGAATTCCTGTTGGTGTCGGTCGGTTGTGGTGTTGGTTTGTGTAGGTTTGTGGTGCGGTTCGGGACGTTCTCCATACGCACGGTTTGTGGTTACGTCTGTCTGTGGTCTGTGGTGGTGTGCGGTTGTCCTGTGGAGCGTGGTGTTTTGACTAGTCTCGTACGGTGGTCGCTTGCCTGCGGTTTGTCCGTGGTTTGCTGACGCATCGATGGCAGCTAGGTGACGATTTGTTGACGAATACGATAGGGTCAACCTGCGACATTTGATATCCCTCACCAAAATGAGCCGTGATCAGTCTATCTGTGATGAATTCTTGCAATAGCACTTTGTAATTCTTGATTGTGTTACTGTGCATCTTGATCAAGTTCCATAGCTTGACGGCCTTATCTAAAGATGGTCTGAGCTAACGCCACGTTTTCCTTGTGTCCACAGTTGCAGAATAAACGAGAGATGTTCTTCCGAGGCGAGACGCCGCCATCGGTGGCGCCGCCGCCCGTGCCCAAGGAGATGAACAACACGCCGGCCGCCCCCGCCCCCGCCCCCGCCAAGGAGGTGCGAGAGAACAACAAGGAGAACAGGCCGGAGGTGAGGTGAACAGCTGAACATCGCCTGTTCACTGCCCGAGGCAGTTCTCTGGGGCTCCGGGGGCGGGTTTAGATGTGACGCTAGCTTGGTATTTTGGTTTTGAATGCGGGCTTAGTGTATCTCTTGGTCACGTGTTTGATGTGTAGGCTAAATGTGTGTTTGTGTATCTCTGTGACATCTTTGTTAGATCCCAGTGTCAAATGTGTGTTAGTATAATCTCTACGGCATCTTTGTAAGAGATTTTCAGCTCGGATGTAGCAGCCTGTACCAGTTTCGGGCTAATCGTATTGCCGACAAATTGTCGACAGTGTCTCTTCGTTCTATCCAATTTGATAACAAGTTGGAATTAGATCTGGTTTGCATCATCCTATCACGCACATATCGCATGTGTATCGGCCGTTGTGGCGTGGAGGTATTGGGCTAGCGTCGGTGTTTTGTCAGTGGCTGACCCAGATGACCCCAGCGTTTACACTTGCTGAGGCTACAATCCCTTCCGTGCCGTGTCACCCTTGACCTCTGTGGTCCCTCATCCGCCTGTCGCTGGGGTATTGAATAGTGAAGGGTAGGGTCTGTCGGGGATGAAGGGGGCGGGGTAACGCGGCACACCACACAAACAGCAGAGGTTGCTTGTCTCACAATGAGTGTTTGTGACGAAGGAGCATGCCTTGCTTGTCTGTAACCAACGTAGCAACATCATTGTGTTCGACAAAAGGGGATTTAGAGGTTGTTTACTGAGTTCGTGATGCATCATAATCACTTCACTGGGTCACTGGGAAGTTGATCGCAGTGCTGAATGACGCCCAATGTCTGATTGACTGATTCCTACCTCGTAATGACTGCGAGGGACAAAAAGTGACATGAGAAGCCCACATGTTTTGTATGTTTTTTTATGTTTAAGTCCATTCGTCGCTTTTTGGAAAATTTGGCGGGAAGTTAAACACGTCAAATGTTAAGTACTTGAAAACGTACTGGGGAAGTATTTTTCCCCGCTAACGGTCCCATTTTATTCGAAATTTGACGTGTATTATCCGTATGCCGTAGTCATCAGATACGCCGCTGCCTAATCGTACCCAGTACCCACCCTTGAACGTTGGATGGGTGTCACGCTTGTTTTTTAACGGATATTTTCTCCCGGCATACAAGTGTCTGTACCTGTCTGTGCCTCATCCTATTCATTGAAGACTTTGATTGTCATTAGCCGGTCAAGTTCACAGCATTGTTCCCTGGGACGCAAAAACCTTATCCGCGTGCTCAAAAACGCACGAAGATACCGCGACCTGTAAACCAATGGAAAGCGTGGGTGAAACGCACCCGGTGCTTTGAACAAGCGTCTTTGAAGCGTTTGCTGAACGGAAGAAACGCGAGGCATTCATTCTGGCCTGTAATGTTGCATTGTTTTTTAGTTCCGTTCATTGACAGCCCGTCAAGCTCCTGCATGCCGTTGGAGCCTGTCATGGCTTGGGAGGCAGGTGAAATGTGGCTTTTTGTGAATACCTTAGCAATCAGCACGGCAAGCTCCAGTCTGGGCCCAGTCAACCGGGCCTGCAAAAGCTGGTGATGATAGTCTTTGATGACGGCGACGCGGCACTGAATCAAGCCAGAAGATGGTGTGTCAGCTGCCGCCTGTTATTGGTGATAGCGTGCTGGTGCTGGTGATCGCATGTGGTCCTACTGGTGCTGATTACCGTGACACCAGGCAGCACCAACCACGATTGGTGACTGGTGCTGGGGAGAACGATCCCTTGCTGAAAAGAGCGGTTTGTGATGCGTTTTCTCGACACGCCATCAGCGCATAAGCTCGTGGTCCCGATGGAATCGCGTGAGGTTATCGTCAGAACTCAGCTGTGGGAAGACCAACGAACCACAGAAAACTGTCCATAGAAAGGCTAGCGGTATGGATGGCCTGTTGACAAAACCTATAGAAAGCAACGCGCCGATTGTTATAAATAATTGGTGGCAGGGGCACTGGTACTGTCCTTCGCCAACAGCAGTTTGAAAGACTCGTCACCTGTCAAACCAGTCTCAAACATTTGAGAGCGGAACAAGACGTCGAATGGTTTACGGCTCAACTATTTAAATACCTGGACTACTCTCGATATTGAACTACATAGTGTTTGTGTTAGCTTTATTGAACTTTTACGGTGGCTACTTTCTCTTTTATATCCCTCAATGGAGAGGGAAAGCAGGTTGTGCTCCTGACGTCAAAATGTGTCACTTCTCCAAAGTCCATCTCATCCCCCGCTGTTTACGTTATGCCGTAAACACAATCCATCAAGGAGGTACCGTGCATCTGCGGGGCATCGCCGCCGTCGCAATAAATTCATTGTTGGGGCTGGCCATATTTCAATTAATTGGCTATTTGTCTTTGCATTCCTTCGCATCGATTCATCACTTCCTACGAGTCAGCGGCGCTGCTAACCAGAAAAGCAATTAGGATTTGGTATTATCTTCTAATTATGCGCAGTTACAGTCGTTCCAATCGCACACACGCATATTAGAAATGCAGTCAGAATTCGTTTGATACGATTAAGTCTGTTTCTTTTCATCCATCTCAGCTATCGTATTTCGTCGTTGACCCAATCACACTATGGTCACCACTTATATCCAGAATCCCTCCGCAGCAGCATCATTCAGCCCATCTGCACGGCGGTAATTAGTTACCTTCCCGGACCTCACAAGCGGTCTAACACACCGTCCAACCTTGTGTCACACTAGTCACACCTGGCGGATCAGCGCGGCCCACTAATCGGTCCGGAATCAGTCCAGTCCGGCGGCCTCCCTCGACAGTACCTGCTCAGGCGGTGACGGTGCGACCGGACCTCGCACGGAGTCGGCCGCGCGGTGTCGGGGCGGACGGAGCGTGTGCGAGCGACTCAGTCGGTCACTGGGCCGCGGGCGGTGTGGAGAGGGGAGGTGGACACGGTGTGGACGGTGTGGAGAGAAGTGGACAGTGAGGTGGATTGTAGTGCTGTGGACAGGTGGTGGTGCAGTGAGGACAGTGCAGCTGGTTGAAGTGGACAGTGAACGGTGGTGGCCAGAAGACCTCCCACAAGCAGCATTTCCAGCGGTCTTTCGTCTCAGCTGTGATCGACCGATCCCGTCCGACCTCAGCTGACCTGCCATACCGCCCGAACCGCTGTGACGGATCTCTCGCTATGGCCCCGGGCGTCCAGCGTGGAGGCGGCCCGCAGCCCTCGCAGCTACCGCTGCCACAGCGTCGCCGGCAGCTGGATCGAGGCAGCTCTGGACTGTCGCGCAGTGGTCTGGACCTGACCGGCAGCCAGCAGCACCTCAATGGGGGTCCAGGCGGGAAGGTACGACGCAGAGGTTATTGTTAGAGGTTATTGGAGGTTGCTCCCCCGTCAAACCAACGGGGGAGTCCTAAATTAATTATACACGAAAAGATGAAAGCGAGGGATCGGAATAGTTAGGTATGAGTTATGACGGGATGAGCGTAACGAAAGCTACAGCATTATACCGATTTTAATCCTTCATGCAATGTATTATTCAAATTCTGTGATGCAAATTATTGTTCATTTCTGTTGCTTGTCGACTTACCTAACCCCGCCAGTCTGTTGCGACAGTGATGGTGCTATAAATATGCTGCATTTTTAGACAGTCTTATCGTCGGTACTTGTTTGATGTGGCCACATCGTCAACTTCTATCGCAACAGCTGGACTTTGAAAATGTGTGCTGCATTTGCTGGACAAGGTTTGAATGGCGAAAACGGATTGCAACGGCTGGAAATCTGCTATGCCTGTCTATGCAGACCAAAGTTTACCCATGCACCGTCACGCTGGACGTCACGGCCGCTGGTGCGTCACGTTTTGCACGCCGCGTGACGCGGTGGACTCCGTCATGGCGCTTACTTTATGTGGTGGCCAGGGTCTCGTGCTCAGCGATTTCTCAGGTGATGTGAATATGCAGAGGGCCATTTGATCATTTGCAAGTCATTAGTGTGGCTTGATGGTTTTTATATCATGTTATCATTGTCATTGTTAAAATTCATTTTCTCAGCCATTGCAACCAAGCGAATGGGTTCGTCGAATTTGGCCCAATCCCATCTGTCCGGTCTTGATAGGGCCAGCGATATATGCTGACACGCTGGCTTGATTCGCCCTTTTTACTTACGAAACGCCCTTAATTTCACTAACAATAAAAACGTCGAGATGGTCACTTTCACCCTGGTGTTTTGCGGTTGATTCCATTTGCGCTGATGACCGGTATCAGCGTGTCTGAAGCGATTAGAACATTAGTCCCGCTGTGTGCCGACATCATCCCCATGTTATTCGCCAATCTCATCTCTCAAACGAGCCAACATCTCTCCTGGCGTGTGAGGCCCGCTCGGCTTACAGCTCTGAAATTGGTGACGCGTGAGTGGAACATGAGCGAGGGACCGGGGCCTCCATGGGTCCGGGACAGAGTCCAGATTGCAATCGTCCTCCGTTGTTAATGCTGTCCGTCTATTGAGGCCCTGCCGGGTTATCGATCTTTTTATCCGCCTCTCCGCGCCTCGCGATGCTGGTGGTTTTTGCTATTGTTCGTCGAGTTAGTCGGCTGGTTCGCGATCGAAGATCGAAGGCTATAGAAGGCAGCACTAGGAGCGCTGGAGTTTTTATTCGCGGGTGATGACGCCGCGTCAGGCTTCTTGCGAGGCTCACGCTGCGCTGGCGTGGTACTGTCTGATTTAGGATATATGTTTGTTGGTTGCTGCTGGTCAACGAAGCGAATGAAGAATAGCTCAAACGTGTCATATCATTGCGATATGACAAGATTAACACGAGTATCTCATTCTCCACGCCATGGACGAGACGTGTTCTCGCAGCGCAATCCACCATGGAATAATAATGATCCACGCGTGCTATGGCGCATGCCAAATGCCAGAGTCTTTCGCTCCTTTCTTCCCTCTTCCCTGGCCGATCCATTATGGAGGGACTGTGATTTTCATTCGATGTTGCACGGTCCTGACGGCCTTGGTCGTAATGCGATGTGTGCTACCATCCTTCATTGCCAGCGCAAAAACTGTTATGCATCCGCTACCATCCTTTTGACCTGCAAAAGTCTGTTCGAATTGTATTATAGCTACTTTGCTGTCATTTCGTTTTTTTAGAGTAAAGTTTTTGCAAAGTGTCCTTGACCCAGCGGGCCAACCTCGAACCAACTGCCAGTCATTTTCACTGACCATTTATTATCACGCATGACTTCGCAAACATATGCTGATCTCTCACCTCGCAGACCTTTCTTTGACCTATCCAGTGACCTTATCATAACGTAGTGTTACCATTGTCCAGGTAACATTATGTTGAAGAATAGAGGAGCGTGTAAGTCCGAACTAACTCTCTTTCTTGCTGCCTCACCCCCAGGCTCGCCAAATCTTCCAACTGTGTCTGACCCGCCACAGGAGACGTCCGTGCAACCTCCGTAGTCCATCTGACTATCTTTAATCCGCTTCAGCTAGTGCCGAATCTCCCTCTGACTCCACCCTTCTCCATCTCTTCCTAGGTGGCGCCGAAGCCGGACCACCCTGAGCCTTCCAAGGGCCCGGCGCCGGAGCCGCCGCGCCGTGCCGACGAACAGAACCGTGAGCGGCAGCGAGGTCCTCAGCGACGCACCAAGCAGCTGGACGGCTACGTGGGCTTCGCCAACCTGCCCAACCAGGTGTACCGGCGAGCCGTCAAGAAGGGCTTCCACTTCACGCTGATGGTAGTCGGTGAGTGGAAATGAGAGAAGGGGAAGGTGGGGGGGGGGGGGGGGGGTGAAAACGAGGTGGTTGGGAAATGGAAGAATAAAAGGTAGAAGAGAATCATGAAGGACACTCTACAACTGCATCTGATAGGAAGGAAACCTGACGTCACTTAGTAGGATTCGGGCGGATAAAGAAGATAAGCACAAGGAGAAACGGTCGATCGCTTAGTTTACACCCAACCATTTGTTGCAATTACCTACGCATCGTGGGCCTGTAATTAGCTGAGTATTTAGGTGAGCGATAGATTATGCTGTTGTGATAAGGACATGTGACAAATGAGTTGTGCATGAGTAGGCTTGCATGCACAATAATTGTTTTGAGTATTGTGGAGGAAAACCGTGAGAACGGAAACCTTGATCTTTGTATTTTCCTCTTCTTACTTACACGTTTTCGTGTGAATGGAAAGCATGCTATGTCTACAACTGATTTATTTCATCATCCAGGATAAGTGCCAACATCTGCGCCAGTTTTGATTATTATTAGCACCATAATGTAAACAGATTTACTTGCCTCACCGGCTTATTTCTCGGAGTTGCTCATTCACGGCTCTCAGAAGATTGATTCACATCCATTCCATCACGTGATTTACTTTCGTGCCAGTCACGAACAATCAGTGTGGCCCTCGCTCCTCTCATGTTAGGAACCCGTGGCTCTGGTCCTTGGACCTGTAGAGGGCACCCTTCCTCTCTTTTCTCCATGAGTGTGCCGTTCCCATTCCGCGCCCGGTGCCGGCACCGACGCCTTGGGACGCGGACGGTCAGGATATTAGAGGACCCGCGGGAGCAGCCTTGGCTTTATTGCCGTCGTATTTCACCGTCGCCCAAATAGCCTGCGCCGTCTGCTGCCGCTGGAAGGGGCTACGGATCGCAGGGAGTGGATGAAGTTGGGCCGGTTCCATTCCATCCCATGTCGCAGAGATGGGAGGGACGATCAACAAATGGAAGGAATGTAGCCACGTAACTAGCCATGGACGCTGCCCACTCCACCCAATACCACATGGACGAGAGAAGAAGGCACGCAGCTTGCAAGGAATGTGTTCTCTGAAACGGTCACAGATACTGGTTCATTGCATGCTTCTGATGGTACCGCGTCTCGCTCTAATGCTGAACGCCTTCAGTGCATGCAGCATCGGAAGTCTACACTCTCCGTCGCCCTCAGATCCGGCCTATCGCCTGTTTACACCTGCCACCCATTCCGAGATTAGTCTGTTGGTGTGACGGTGGCATTGCCGTTCGCAGTTCGCAGTTCGCACCGCAGTAAAAACTGTATCGCCTTCTTGCGTTCCCGTCGCGACTTGGTGACGTAGTGTTTGTTTGTGCCCTAATGCGTACTACCTTTTAGACCAGTAGAGCGAGGGAATGTCGGCGTGAGATTCTGCTCTCCACAGGGTCAATGTTTATGTTAGATAGCGCTAACTATGTGTGCGTAGGGATAGCGTGCGCTATGCGTGCTTGTCCGTTTGCGATAGGCCTGGCTAGCGTGCGTACCCAACGCTTTGTCGATAACTGTTGTGTGAATATCACCACCCTCAGGCTGGTCACTCTCCCACATTGTCACCAGCTCGTTAGGTACTGTATGGTGGGTTAACGAGCCGGGAGGGTCAGTCATATCTCACCCGCCAGTAACCCACTAATTGGGGCGTGGGCTCGGTCGGCGTCACGCTGGCCTGCCGTCACGTCACGCTGACCTGCCGTCACGCCCGGCCTCGCCGTGACGCGGCCTGCTCCGTCACAGCGTGGGTGTGGCGCTGCCCTTGTGATGAGAGCGTGATGCTGGTGTTTGGTTGTGATTGAGCACCTGGGCGTGGCTGTGGCCTACCTCGTGGTGCCTGGATTGGCTGTGCTGCTTTCAGATTGTTGGAAAGTTGGTTATGGGGATGACGTGTGCATGGTTGAAACATTCGCACAGCCTTCAAAATAGAGATGCTTTCTTTTTCTAGCATTCATCCAGTTTCAGCTTCAGACTGATGTTGAACTAAATGAAATAGTTGAGCATCGATCGGCTTCGTGAAACGATCGATGCTTGTCTCACAAATTCGCACCTGTTTCGCGGTGCATATTTGATGACGTCAGTGGCTGGAAGTGCGGTCTGGCGCAGTTTGCCGCAGCGTGTTTGCCGCCGCCTTCAGGGAAGACCGTTTGATGACCGTTCCCAGCCGGTGGTTTCCTTGCCGCCGCCGCCGCCGTGTTTGCTGTGGGAACCCGCAGATCGCTTCCGCTCGAGGTCGTCTGTGACTGGTGCGGCGGGCGGTCGTCGGACGGTCGGACCTTCCCTCCGCCGGTGAACCGTCGGTGACGGCGGCTGACGGCCGACCTGCCCGGGGCGGGGAAACGAGCTGGGCGTGCCGGCCGCCTCCGATGGCGCGTTTCACCACGCACTCGTGTGAACTCGATTTTTTTGTGTCATGCTGTGCGATTTAAAATCGAGAATGCCGGCTCCGTTACGCTTTTCAGAGCTCCCAATAAGGCTCTGATTACTTTTCTTTCATCTCGCCACCGCCTGCTAATAAGCGTCAATTATTTCAGACAATGATTCCTCCCTTCAGCCGCCCTCGTTCTTCACATACTGTTCAATGCTCAGTGATGAATATCGGTCATGAATGTTTCCGCAGGCACGGCTCTGTTTCGTCTTTTTTATTGATGTTCCCAATTCGGCCCGGGCCGTAGCATCCAGTAGGTGGAATGGACGACCAAACGAATACGACAGTCGGCCCTCAGCATGAAAACGGCTGGATGCCGGACAGACACCCCCAACACCAGTCCGGACGTTCCGTCTCACTTCCTGCAACGAGCCGGGGGGAATGCGAGGACGCACGGGAGATCGCCAGACTGATATAAAATGAAATCACCTTCTGCACCGTCTGAGAGCTCAGAGCCGCCTTTGAACTACCAGACAGATGCTTCTCATTGGCTACCTTCCGGCGAATATCCCGGAGCAGATGTGGCATGGAGAGCGTGTCGGCGACAGATGCTGAATCGAACAGACATTGTATCGGCGACAGGCGCTCTGTCTGACTGCGAGCGGCGCAAAGGCAGGTGTCGGAACCGGACGCTTCATCTGGTTTCATCTGTTGTTCTCTGTCGCGCTCACGAGTCCAGGCTAGTGTGTGTGCTGTGCTGTGAATGTGATGACCACTGAAATACTCCCGCCTGTTTGAACGTAGTCAAAGCCGGGGGTCATTTCGTACTAGCAATGCTAGCAGTTCAAAATACTGCAATTCATACCATTTTATTGTAGCCTTTCACAGAAACAACGAGCAAGCTAGGTGTAGGCAGAGAGTGTAGCTGACCTGATAAATTCGAATTGACCATGGCACTTCGGTGAATTCCGTTTGATCGCCTTGAAGTGATGTTTGCTCTGAATCCCGGACTTCATGCTTCATGTTTAGATTGCCTGGTTTAGGTGCTCTTCACCTGTATTTACTTGTTGAACCAGGCTCTGTTGGCTGTCAGACTTGCCTCCGACTTATGTTTTGCTTCTCCGATCTCCATATACGAGGGGGTATCGAAAAGTTCTGATCATCACATAGAAGATATAGACCGATTTTGATGATTTTTGGTTGGTATTATATTTGGTTCTTAAGAACAATGTTCCCGCAAAGAGGATCCTGAGAAGTGGTTTTATCTTATGTAGGAGAGACTTAGAAGTAAAAAAGATGAGTATTGGGCCCATTGAGGACCGAACCTTCATCCAACTAATGCATTTGAAACGGTATCACACTGAGAAAATACATCAAGAACGTGAAATTAGTTTATAGCGAGGAAAGCCCATCTAATGCACTTACCGAAAATGAAGAAATAGGTTGCATGACCCTTGCAGGGGAGTCAAGAAGTGAGTGACTACCAGTGACTGACAAGGTGGTGACTGTGAAGGAAGTGGAAGACCTCATCTTTACAGATCGTCGTGTGACCTTTCAGATGATTGTGCAACAGAAAGGTCTCAATGCTGGCAAAGCCTGAAAATATTATCGGCGAAGAACGACAGACGATAAAGGAGTCAGCCCGCTTAGAAGTTCGTGTGTCTACTTTGTTCAAGAGAAAAATGCGTCTAGGCCTTTCGAAATGAAAACTAGGCTTTTTTAGGAAATTGAAGACATCTTGGATCATTTATTGACTTGTGACGAATGCTGGGTCTATGTGTATGATCCAGAGACAAAAAGATGATCAAGCAGTTTAAGCACGGCACATCTGTCCTTCATAAAAGGCGAAGATGCAGAAGCCGATATGGAAGGTCAATGCTATCAGTGTTCTGGATCTGGCGTAGGATATTCATTACCGACTGTCTTGATGATGGTCGGATAATGATAAGCAAGCACTACTGCACACTTTTGAAGAAGTTGCGAGATGGCCTCAAGCAGAATCGCCGCAAAAAAGCCCAAGAAAGATGTTTTATCCGCACCGACAGCGCCCCCGCCCATTCGTCCTGAGCTGCGATTTAAGAATCAACATGATGTGGACATTAAATCCTACCGCATCTAAGAAATTCACCTGACCGGGTATTAACTGACTCTTGATTGTTACAGGAGATGAAGAATCCACAGTATGGCCGGTGATAAAAGGCCAGAAATGACGTCATTGATGAGGTGGAGCAGTGATTTACGGGACAAGGCGAAGGTCCTACAATGACCACCTGATGCATCTCAAGAAACGATGCTATAAGTTTGCGGTCGTGTGTGGTGACTTGTAAAGGAGTAATGAACATCATGTAAAAAAATCAGATTTCTATCACATCTAATTCATGGTGATGATCAGAACTTTTCGATACCCCCTCGTACATGCTGTTTGACCGTTCTTGGAGTCGTTTCGATGGTCTGACCCTTTGGAGAATCCAGTGCCCCCAGCCTTCAGTTCAATATCAGAAGTGAAGTTCGCCCTTATCGACTGATACAATACAGATGACTGCATAGCTCAGCGATGTAGGATGCTGCCATGTTGTTGATGCAGAAGACAGAGACGCTTTAGTTGGTGCTCTAGCCTCTAGGAATGTGTGTCTGATGGTGGAGTGGCATGAAAGCTTTCTACTGTGTCGGGTATCAACGAATGTTAATTGATCCTGGAGTTCACATGAAGGAATCATGCAATTAGTGCAACCCGATGGGTAAAGACTCAATCAGTATCTTTTGTTCCACGAATTCGTGAAGTGATTATAAATACAAAACCCTCATGTAAAGGTGCAGTGTCCGTTCGTCGAGGGCAGCTTAAAGTCGGTATGCGCCTTTTGACGTGACTGATAAGCTTCGTCAAACGTCGCCGTCAGCCTGCCTCGTGTCGGTTCTCCGTCACTCTACCCACCTCGTGTCGCCGCTCCGTCACTCTGTCCATCGTATGTCGCGCGACCTTTTATCGGACATCCTCCCTTTGTCTTCCTTCTTCAGTCCCGCATTCGCCGCGGTTCGTGCTGTAGTGCTTCCATCGCTCGATGTCCATCCTAGGCGGGTTCTTTGATCAGTCTCGAGGAGTTTATGCCGTGCCTGTTTTCGCCTCAGCTCGGTCTGCGTCGCTAGATTTGTCTTGGTTTCCTTGTGTTCGCTATGGATGTAACATTTCTGGTTTTGTAGGTTTGTTTCTCGCTTAAATTGACCCCGGACTCTTCATCCTGCAATCCACGACAAAGTTACGACGAGCAATTTGCAAGAAGGTGGGTCGTTAAGTTTCAAAGCTAGACACGAGAAATGCAATAACTGTTGGCCATGTTAAAACCCTTCTCGTTAAATTGAGCTTGCTCAGCTGTCACTTTGGAGTAGTGGAATGCCATTGGCAGGCGCCACATTATGCACATGGCGATATCATGTCGCCTCGCTTCAGATGGATATGCGACGCCACTGCCCAGTGAAAACAAACACAGAGGCCTGACGTCGGGGTACGGCGTCGGTGTCGGACCAGGCACGTGATGGACTCTGCGGGTCAGCTCCTGACGACCTGCTGACCTTTCATCTCTCCTCAGTCTCCCTCCTCTCCCCTCCCCTCCTGCTCAACCTCCGCTCCGTGCACTGCGTGCAACATCAACATCCCACGCCTCGTTTGAAGCAGCCACGATTCGCTCTAACCACTCCCCCACCCGCCTCTCTTCCCGATAACTCCTCTCCCCGCGGTGGCCGGTCTCCGTCCGTGCTGTCGGCGTGCCGTGCAAGAGGCGGCTGTCGGCATCGGTTTCTGATATCAGTCGGACCGCCCGGCTCGCTAATCGCTCTGCCGTCGGCATGCCGGTCGTCGGCGACGGCGCCTGGCGTCATCGACGTGCCACTGGCGCCTTGGGAGGCTTTTATCGCCGGCGGCGCCCGCTAGGGAAGGGGAGTTGGGAGGGGAAGGGTTGCGCGGCTGCTTGCATGGTGTTTGGTTGCTGGTATGGAGTGCAGGCAGCGCATTGCGGCGTGTAGATTGCTCGCCGATTGTGGCGGTTTCGTCCGCCGAGGTTTTGGGTTTCTAATTGGATGGAGGTGGCTGATGTCCGCGATCACTCACTGCTCGCTCTTTGTCGAGTGTCGTGTGGGGTCTCCAGATGTTTTCCTATTGTGTGTGTTGAGCTCAGTTCACTTTATTGGATGTTGGGATTGACGGACTGCGCTGCCGGAGCGATCTGTCCTACATGCTATCCGTGGGTAAGCCTCCGTAACATTCCTATTTTGAATGTCGGCTAATTATCTGCGCCAAAGTCTGATGTTGCCTTTGCCTCCCACTTTCAGCTCTTACATTTTCATCCATCTTCTTATGAGGATAACACCATGCAGCTTCACTTTTGTGTGTAGTGACATCATCATGCGCAGTCTGCAGCGTGTGTCGCTCCCCGTCCCCGCTCGACACGGATGCGTGGTTAGCAGCGCAGTGACACGGTGACATCATCGGGCTAACGAGCCCAGATACCGAGCGGGTTGGTCTTGTCCGGAGAAACGGACCAGTGCAGGAGATTCGTAACAGGAACCGGTGGATTTTGGGCTGGCTGGGGGAGACCAGAATGATCTTAGGAAGCTTGTTAGAGGTTCCTCACCGGACGGGTCATGAAGAAGACCAGACTCGCGCCGCGCCGGTGCCGGTGCCTCGTGGTGCAGAACCCTGGGCGTACTCCGCGCCCCAAACCGTGATGACCTCACCGTTCATGATTAACGAGCCCACTGGTCTGGCAGAAGATTGCGCTCTGATACATTTGCTGCACTGATGGGTGCAGTTGGGATGGGTGCACCGTTTGGTACATTAGTGATGCCCGAGATGTACAGATAAATGCTGTTTGGGAGCTGTGGTAGTGAGAACGAACCTTCGAGCCACTTAGGTTTTAGGCCACTCTCATTCTCAATCCTTGCGTGTTTTGCAAATTGATTATGACCGTCTTGCATGACCAAGAAAAACAACAGTTGAGACACTAATTGTTGCCTTTTCCATCGTAATTAGATAAACGTTACGGTAACTCAGTATTTACCTAAGCTGGCCAGCAGATGACGTGTACCGTGTTCCATCCTAGTCCGGCCGGTATGCTGAAACGTTATCTGGATTCCGTCCGTCGCGCCCGCCGTGTCTTGTGTTTGGGTCCGGCGGCACACAGCCTCTGTGGCTGCCGCGTTATGTTGGTGTTTCGCCCGTTTGTATGTTGATTCGACCCAGTGCGGCGAGGTTAGGACGGTCCTGCGCGGAGCGAGAGCCGACGGCACCGAATGTGGACGGCCACTGTTGGTTTTTGGATGTATGTTTAGCGCGGTGTCCTGTGTACTCCGTATCGTTAACGCGTCGTGCGATCGTGATATTGACGATGGAACGGTGTAACATAGCTCAAGTGCGGTGCCATATTGGAGTAAATCTCTCTGATTTCCTGCCGCTGCCACTTTCCAAAACTTTCGGGGGTCCTTGCTTTGTGTATCTACAAACATTGTAGGCCTTGGGCGAATTGTGGTCAAAGCGCGGGTGGAATCGAAAGTGGTCTGTGGTGCTTCTTCGGGTGAATGTTGCTGTCGGTGGTTTTTGGGGTTGCAAATGGCGTGATACCGCGACCGCCAGCTGGCCTCTTACCGCAGATCACACCCGTTCCACCGCTCTACCACAGTCTACCGCTATTCTACCGGCGCTCTGCTGTACCCGTCACCAGTACCGTCCCTCTTCCTACCGCCTCTGGCTCTCTTCCTCATTCCGCAACAACCACCTCACCACCACCGCTTCCCACAGCGTTGCGCGCTGCCTCAGGCACAATCCCACTACCGCTCTCTGCATTCTACACCTCGGGCCAGCCAGTGCCTTGTCTAGCCGGTGGCTCCATGGGGAAGTGTTGCCTTCTTTTACTGCTCGATTAGCGACCGCATGGCTCCTCATAGGCTGCCTAAGGGGTGGGCGTAGTATGGAGCTGGGAGATCTGTGGCGTGGTTGTGATTTCATCATTCGCATGTTGCTTTAAGTGGCGATCGCCTCTGGTTGCCAAAAGAGCCGCTAGCTTCTGTTCAGAATGCAGGCTGTTTGACTTGTGTTTCGGTCCCACTCGTAGTCTTATGGACTGGGTGAACATATGGAGTGGATGTCCCATGCTGAAATGTGGAAAGGCCGGCCGTCGACGCCGTTCCAATCTGACAGCCGTTCGAACCCAGCTCGACCACGGCCTGTCTGACCGGCTGTAGATTCCACTCGCCGTCAGGATCATGACCGTCAGATTACGGCCGCCGCCACTCGGGGTCGCGCTGTCGTCTGACCACTCTCGCTGTCGTTCGGCCGGTTAGGATCTGGGAAACCACGGCCGCTGCCGCTTCTCAGGGTCACCCGCTGAATGAGGCTCGGGCGCAGCAGGCTGACAGAAGAGAGGGTTTTAGAGGAGCAGATTGGCTGTGGTGAGGCTCGCGGTGTGGGGAGCGCTGGATGTGGTCCCACGTGTTTGGTTATGGGTTTATGGCAGCACGTGCCAGATCGTGGTCAGGTGGGATGTCGCGTGACCTCGCACGTGTCGGCACGTGATGCGTGACTGCCCGGCCTGGCTTTGGCGTCGTACAGTATGGACCGCCGCTCGAATGAAGAGGACAGGTGAAGCTGGCTTTGAATAACGCGAATCCATGTTTCATAACACCTGAAGTGTCGGGCTTTATTCGTTACCCCTGAAATTCATTCGTCATGGCAGAGAGGCGAGCTGCAGCCCACGGCGTGGCTGATAGTCAAGAATGCAGCGCAGGAGTCGTCGGGTTTCATGCGGTTCTAAAATACCGGCTCGTTTTACTGGCTCCCTTCCCCTCCCCGTCAGCTCGACTGTAATGTGGACAGCGCCGGAGATGGAGGTCTTTATAGGGGTCACATTCTCTGACGGGCAGTAAAACAGTGAACCGCTCCTTTGAGCTATATCCAGGCGGAGCGGCTGCTTTGGTTCTGCTGGCGTCGCCAACACTGAGGGCCCGCCACCCCTGTCTGAGCCCCGCCCAGTTCAACAGGGATTGTGTCTGTGGATGAAGAATGATGTTTAGTATTTCCTGTCCGGCTGATTGCTGACAGTGCTGATATATCCTGCGCTGGTTTTGCTGACACGCTTCGAATGCTGAGCGACTGTCGGGTGATGTATGCTGATGTGTGGTGTGTATGGATAGCTGACGTATAACTGACGTCTGCTCCTGCTGGGCGAGCGTCTGATATCTGACGTCATTCTCCCTTTGTTTCAGGCGAGTCCGGTCTCGGCAAATCGACTCTAGTCAACTCCATGTTCATGTCAGACATCTACAACAACGAGTACCCCGGCCCTTCACACAGGATCAAGAAGACCGTGGCGGTAAGTCTGGGACCGTTAGGACGCTCACCGAACCACCCACGCCTGGCGCCCGCCGGGGAGGCAGGGCATGACTGTCGCCTCGTTACCTTTGTCCGTATTGTTATCTGGTGTTTTACGGCGCGTAAAGAACGCAGTCGGACCATCAGGGAGGTGACCCTCCTCGTCTGCCTTTGTCCTGCCCGGGCACCGGCGCCGGCGCTGGTTGCAAAATAGCCGGGCTGTTTTTCTCTCCGCGCGTGGCTTCTTGCCAGGTTGGCGGCCGGTCGCTGCGTTGCACCATGTGTTTGTGTCGGGAGGGCAGGTCGCTCGAGCTGGCAACGAGACTAGGATGGAGTGAGACCCATCTGTGCTGGATGGGATGGAGGTATAAAACTTAACTGAGAGGACCGTCTGCACAGAGTGATTGAGGTTTTTAGGAACTATTATGCATCAGTCAGAGTGAGTGATTTGTCATCTTCCAATGACTTTGCCGGGGTTGCCAGTGGTTGAATGAGCGATGTGCCATCTGTTGGTTGATAATCCATCTTACGCTTCGGATTTTTTGTCGCCAGGTGGATAAAACCGTTGTTCACATGAAGGAGAATGGCGTTAACTTGAGTCTCACTGTGGTCGATACGCCCGGCTTCGGAGACGCGGTGGACAACAGCAATTGGTGAGTTTCGGCGGCATCAATTTAACTGTGACTGACGGGGTCTGTTTCAGAATGCGTGTTCTGTTGCGACAGAGGCGCTCAAGTCGCCAAAACAATCCAATTAAGCCCGGTAAATGTCATTGAGACGGACTCAGTTTCCTAACGTTACACGACACGAAATGCGGCGAAGGAGCACGCAAGACGGGTGGTCGCTCGGGTGACACCTTATGTGCAACGGCACGCGAGACACGAGGAGTTGCGTATATTCTTAATTCGCCAGGTGTCAGGTGCAATAACGAGGAATTCCTGTTCCTGATTCGCACCACACGAGCGTTGTGTCATGGGATAAGACCGATAAAGTCAGTTGCAACACTGAGACGCATTTCGCATCCATTTAGTGCAAGGATCCGGTCTCGACTTTTCAAGACAAGATTATCTTTCTCAATACCTTCCGCAATTACAAATTTTGAAATGTGTGGATTTTCCAGTAATTGTCGTATTATATCTGTCTTTAGGTGTCCCTTTTGCTCCGATTTAAAAAGGTTCACACCTCAGTCACATAAGTCTTTGGACTCGTTTATTGAGTAAATAGTTACCTCTTCTCCAGCTTTCCCTATCGGCCTTGTTCAGATTTCTCTGATCTAACTCGATCTTTTGTGATAAACACTGACCCGTCTTGTCGAATTTATTGTACGGCCTTTTTTGTCCAGCGCTGACCTACCCTCCCCCACTTTTACCCTACCTGGCCCTACTTGACCTGACCTGACCTGCCCTGACCTGATCTGACCTGAACTGACCCTGACCTGACCCTCCCCTCTCGCCGTCAGCTGGCAGCCGGTGATCGAGTTCATAGAGTCCCGGTACGAGGAGTACCTGAACGCCGAGAGCCGTGTCCACCGCTCTGAGGTGGTCGACTCGCGCGTCCACTGTTGTATCTACTGCATCGCTCCCTCCGGGCACGGCCTCAAACCGCTCGATGTCGAGTTCATGAAGCGGCTTCACGATAAGGTCAACATTGTTCCCGTCATTGCGAAGGCGGATACCATGACACCAGAGGAGATCACCAGGTTCAAACGGCAGGTCAGTGGTGCGGGTGGCTGTGACCCTTGTGGCCAATGATGATTGTTTTTTTTTTTTGACGTCCTTAGCTTTCTTGTGAGCTTGTGTGAGCTTGTTTATAATTACGAATGGTGATATCTGGTCTTGTCTGTGAACTAGGCTAGAAAGTGGTCAAAACTATCTTGCAGATTGAATATTACCTGCTGTACGTTGACATAATGTCCTAACTTTTTTCTCAGCCAGTCATCATTCACAAACTGAAAAAAATACAGCACAGCTATAACAATGCACGATCTCTCATATTTTCATGCATGCTCTCCAAGCTCATTTTTACCTCAATTATCACTCGACCTCTTATGTGCCGCAGATTCTGAACGAGATCGCCCAGCACAAGATCCGCATTTACGAGTTTCCCGACTGTGACGACGAGGAGGAGGCCAAGGCGCACAAAGCGCTCAGAGAGAGGGTGCCGTTCGCAGTGGTCGGTGCCAACACAGTTGTCGAGGTGAGACAGGGGTGGATAGACTGCGGTGGGGTTCTTGGAAGTGAGTGGGAAAAAGGAGGGGCTTTGCGTCTTGGCGTCAGGCGTTGTGTGCAGTGCACAACCCAGTTTATGGGTGGCGAGGAAGAAAAATGTTGCAGGCTGGGCGTAGTTAATGTCAAAAGAAAGAGACGTGATGTCATTGTGCATTCCTGCGGTCAAAAGTGTGGCATGTGCCATTGAGGGCCCTAATCCGACCACTCAGGAATGCACTGTGCTAGTTTTTAGGGCCTCTTCAAAGGGTGTGTCCTACATAGCCGAGAGGGAACGTTAAATGTTGATACGGCCGACATTCTGCTGGTCAGCGCCGGCATCTGTGGACCCTTGCCCACACCACCGCTGATTGTCGTTTGGGGCCGCTGGGCGGACAGTACCGCGTCCGGTCATACTCGGCGGGTCGTGTTTTGACAGCTTGGCGTCCCGTGCCGTTTGTATCCCGGCCACTCGAGAAGCGGTGTCGGCTTTCAGCGTTATGACCCGCCTCCTCGACTGTGTAAGCAGTGGTGTCCGTTAGTGGTTATTATGGTGGACCTACCATGCCCGGTAACGAGCAACCCTTGCTGAGGAGGGCCTCGTCCGGTGTCAGTGCTGCCGTCTGGTGAGTGGTTGGTGAGGCTATAGTTTGTCTTTTTGTCGCCAGGTGGACGGGAAGAAGGTGCGTGGCCGCCGCTACCCGTGGGGCGTGGTCCAGATCGAGAGCATGGAACACTCGGACTTCATCCCGCTCCGGAACATGCTGGTGAGTGTGTGAGCGGCTTCATTATAACAGTTCGGATGCTGCAACAGTTGTCAAAGTACACAATATAACACTATATCAAGTCAAACAAGAGGATTTGAAGCATGCTGCAACGAGCTATTGATGGAGCTTTTTTGTGATTGCTCAAAGTTTTAAGTTAAAACGGTATTCAAATAACCTTAACGTTATTAAGCTCAACAACTTCAGACATAGATCAGGTCCACTCAGTCTTGTCCCGTCTAACTTTGAGGTGTGACCGATGCAGCTAGCCTCAGCTAGGTATGTGGTTTACATCGTAAAGCCTTCATCCCGCTAGTAATTAATCCTATAAGCTGTTCATATTTCGTTTCACGACATCGTGTGACATCAGACCGACTTGCCATCAATTGCTCTCTCGGTACGAAACATTACTCAGCATCGCAGGACTCTTTGACACATTTAGTGGCCATTTCTTATCCTGAGCCTACTCATAAGTAACCTCAGCTACCAGTGGCCTTCGCGTAACTGCCACTGCCAATGCTGAGATTTGTGGCGTTGACCCACAGATCCGAACACACATGATGGACCTGCGGGACGTAACCAGTTCTGTTCACTATGAGAACTACCGGTGCCGTAAACTGGCCGGGGTCGGTACGGATGGCAAGCCGGCCAAAATCGTCAACAAGTGAGTGGATGGTTGGTGTGCGGTGGTCGGGTTTGTGGTGGTGGGTGTGTGAAGTGTGTATGTGTGTTAGTGTGCAGGGGAGAGGGGTAGTTTTTTGTGTGAAAAGTGTGTGTGGTTGTGACTTGAGAAATTGTGTAAAGAAGGCATATGATTTGCTTGCTTACAAGAAAGGATATGCTACCCCTTGCTAAAAGGGACGGTAAAAATGCAGGGTAATTATCTCCAGTACGAGGTCTTTTCTCACTCGGTAATTAGTCGACAGCCAAACATTCAATTTCGGAGATATACACGTGTCATATTGCGAAAATGATCGAAAAATGACATTTTCTAGCTGAGAACGTTATGGTGTCAATTTGACGAAGTCAAGGACTAAAAGTTGTCTCAATATATTGTCTTCCTAATGCACAGCTATTCCATTTGTCATAAGAAGTTTATATGTGTTCTCGATAGTCCTGATTGATGGTAGTGCCTCCCCATTTAATCCCACTCTGCCACCGTCTGATTCAGACAGACAGTTTATTTATCCAAACTGTGGCCACTGGCGTCCCGCTGTGTCACCGTCATCAATGACACACCCGTGTTTGTCCAGTCTCTGCCCGCAAAGGATCATGAACACTTTTATGACCATCTGGTGAGTGGTTTACGCGCATTTTCAGAGCTACGTTAACGTTCCCTGTCGGCGATTATAGCTTTTTATGAATATACTGAATGACGAGATTGAAGATTGCACGGTTTGGTGTTGCTTCGATGGGGCTGCAGAAAGACAGATGTTTTTATGTTAGCTTATTCGGAAGAGTTATGATTGAAGCCCTGCTGAGAGTATTACTTTTCATTCCGATTTCTATTTTGGTACGTTTGTGACGTGCATGTGTGAGTGTGAGCGTGTTAGTTGTGTGTTTAGTCTACTGGTGTTCCAGTTTTATGGCAATATTCAGTGCACGATTGTACCCATTCATGTGGATACCGAATGTACGAATGGACTTGAATAATATGAACTGGTGTCCCTATCATAGATCAAGTGCCGAGTAATTCTAGCGAGCATCTCAGAGACGCGGAACCTGCATCTGTTAATATCGCCTGTACTTTCGTGTGTTATTTTCTGTTATAAAATCCATGTCCGGAAAAGTTCCCTAGTGGAAAAATAAATAATATGATGCTTCGTTTTTCCAAAGCATGTGCACTGCTTATCCAGTTTATAAATGTGTCAGTAAGAACAAGCTGTGAGAAACTCATGCATGCAAGCGATTTATGCGTCATAAGCCTTATCCTTACCCGGTTCTCCAGCATCCGTGCACCAACTAACACAGACGTAACCGGTCAACCGTCGCATGTTATTACGGCGTCAGCCAACAAACATATTCCCATTAAATTGATCACCATGTCTTCTGACCTCTCCATGTTCTATCGTTTTGGCTGTCCTATCGCCGCTCCTATCTGACCTATCCCCTGGCATTTCCCTTGGAATTTATCGACCCATCGCTGTTTATCTTCCCTGCCCTAACCTCGGCTGTCCCTTTCCCCAGGAACCCGCTGGCCCAGATGGAGGAGGAGAAGAGGGACCACGAGCTCAAGATGAAGAAGATGGAGGCCGAAATGGAACAGGTGTTCGAGATGAAGGTCAAGGAGAAGCGCAACAAGCTCAAAGAGTCCGAGGAGGATGTAAGTGCGGGGCTGGCAATCGGGCAAACTGCAGAACTTGACGGTGGCAAGTTGTGCTTTATGGTTAGTCTAGTCGTATGTGTTTCCGTTGCCATGCGTAGAACAATCACGATAGTTTAACTTAGTTGGTGAGCTTTTGCCTGGTTTAATATTCAATGTTCATATGCTGAAAGATTTTAGTGTTATTTTTAGTAAGCTGCTGATAGCTCATGTAAATATATTTGGAGGAGCTATCATGACATCCTGCCCCCACTGTGACTGTGGCCTTGCCCATCCCACTCCCCCCGCTGTCTGTGACCGATCCCCGTCTGTCTCCCGGCGTCCCGCAGCTGCAGCGGCGCGAGGAGCAGATGTTGGCCCCGCTGGAGGAGCAGCGCCGGGAACTGGAGGAGCGCCGCGCCGCGTTCCGCCGGGAACGGGACGACTGGGAGCGGCTGAACGGCGTTACTGTGGCTGAGCTTCGCCGGCGGGAGCTCGAGTCCCACAGCAAGGAGTAAGTCGGGGCGGGTGACTGGGTAGGCAGGGACAGGGAGGGTAGTGACGTGGGCTTATGGGCTTATGTGGGACATTGACAAGGGTTATTGATATCGGGACTTTAGCGGGACAGTGCGGTACATTCACACGGAGTATAGCCCACTCTCAGAATACACTGGATAAGTTTGGGGTAAGAATTACATTTGGAAGCAGATCGTGCAAAGGCGGCTATGGGAAACGTGGTTCAGGGTAAATTATTGCCGGGGATATTAAAACGTCAAAAGCTCTCAATCACATTGGTAGTGCGGGAGTCTACCTTTAATATGTTTGCACGAAAAAAAATGCAGCCAGTAAAGGGAATAAGGGACACAGAGCTTTTAACATTGCTGCACAAAGCACAATAGGTTTGGGAACTGAGGTACGAGGGTAATGTATGTAAATGCATGGATGTTGAGGCTGTTCAGCTGGACATTATTTGTTTTGCACCGTTATGTTTTCAGTTCGCCGTTGCCTGTTAATTGTTTTGTTTCAATTTATTTTCGCACTTGTCTCAAAGATGATCACATGACATGTGATGCGGCTGTGTTTTGTTGTGAACGCTGCACCGGTTGTTGTAACCTGCCGCTTGGATGTGTGAATCTCTTGAGTCGCCTGTCTCTCCGCTTCTGGGTCGGTCGGGTCTCCCCCCCCCCCCCGGGCCGTACTAACGTTATCGAGTGTCACTGGTCTCCGCCTGACAGCGGCGTCTCCCATTGGCCGGCTGTCGGTGGCGACTCAATCCCCGCCCGTCCATTGGTTCATTCTGAGTCAGCGCCGCCTCTGATTGGCTGGCCAGCTCTGAAGGGCAATTGTCGCGCTGTGATTGGTCGCCGCCGGCAGCTGCTGCGCGGCCATTGGCCGAGCGCGGTCGCCCTAACACGGCACGGTGTTTGCAGAACGCTGACCAAACACTCGAGTTTGCTGACGCTGAGCAGGCAGTTTAAGGCGCGCTTCTAGCGCTGACCTCCGGTCTGTGTAAGTGACGCGCTGACCTCCCCCCCCCTCTCCGGCTCTCCCGCTGCCGTTGCGCTCTGTCTATCTGTCCGTCTGTCTGTCGGGGCTCGGCGCCCGGTGTCGGGCTGTACGTGTGGCTCCGCTGGCCGCCCTCACTAACCCGCCGGCCGGCAGGCTGCGGCCGGCCGCCGGCTGGACGCTGACCAGGTGGCCCGCCGCCGCCCCCGCCGCTGCCGCCGCGCAGGTGGTGCTCCATCGCACCCTGTCGGCGCCGACGGGCCCTCGGCCGGTCCCCGGGCGGGGCAGGGCTCGTGGCGCGGAAACAGAGGAGCGATGCCGCCAGCAGTGAACGGGCGCCCGGCGACTGAACAAAACTGCTGCGACTCGCGACTAGCCGGGCTAACGCTGCTTCACGTCTCCCGTCCCTGGTCCCGGCCTTACCCTCGGTGTACTCGCTCGGTCCCACTGTGTGAAACTGCGCCGTCTCTGACTCCGTGTGGTGCGCCGGCCGGCTGACCTGCTGATCTGACGGTGGTGGCGGTGGAGGGTGCTGATCGCTGACTGCTGATCGCTGACTGCTGACTGGTGCGGGTCTTTACAGCGGTGGCCGCTCCCGGTGGAAAGTGTCCGTGTCTAAGCTGTCCGGGGTCCTCTAAGACGGCCCGGCCCACGGCGGTTGGTATACGCACTGCTCCGTTGCTAACCTAACAGTCCTGTCTACGGCAGGCCAGCGGGCTTGTCTTATAGCGCGTCGAGCGCTCACTAATACGACGGCAGCGCGCCTCGGCGTCATGGCTTGTACGTTAGATCGTAGCAGAGAGCTGGGGACTCACATTTCACATAGTGGGAGGATTAGAGTATAGTGTCCGAGAGCGAGAAGTAGTCTGGAAGAAACGGGTTCCATAGCTGGCTTATCCGCCAAAGGTAGCGCTCCTAGCGGCTTGTTGCACGTATCAAGGAGGGCATAGATGTCGTCTAACCATTTTTAACGACTCGTTAAATGATGCGAGATCCAAGTCGGAAACGTTTGGATTTATGCATCCTGTTGCATTTTCGTGTCGTCCACCCTCTCAATGGGTTTACCTTCGAGCGATGCTGTACTCGCGCTCTGAAGCACTGGTATGAGAGCGATAACAAAATAGATTAATTGTTCCGCAATAAAAACAGCATGTAGTATTGTCCGTAAACTCACGTCAGAACGTGTTGGGAGTGTGGTCAATGTCGTTTTTTGGTCGGTTCCCCGTATCGTCCCGTCCATTTAGAGTCGTATTTACAGCGTTCCTGGCCCAGCTAACCGAACTGGCAGCCCCTGACTAACCTGTGTCCGTATGTCCGTTTGAAGGTAGCTTTGGTCGCAGGGTCTGCCTCTGCTTTCTGTCCGTCCAGCCAAGGGTCTTTGGATCTTTTTTCTGTTTCTTCTGTGCTGCTGTCTTGGCATATGGGCTTTGAGAGGCCAGTCGCTTTCGGCTTCCGTCTTGCCTATTATCTTCTTAGTTTGAAGTAGTGAGCGTTTAGGATGATGGTTGAATGTGCTACGTTTTGCTGAGCTTCTGTGTTCTTTATAGCGCACTTGAAAATCTCTTGGTTTCGTTTAAAGAGTAAGCTTTGTGCGCACTTGGTACCAGTCACTTGGACACTCAGGAGCACCACCTGACCTCACGGCTTAGCGCCCGCCTTGCTTGGAACCACAGCGCCACGGCCCGCACACGCGCTCACACCCGCATCCTCTCTTTCAGGACGGTAGATGGGAAAAAGAAGAAAAAGGGCCTCTTCTAGTGTCTGTCCTTTCGCGCGGTGCGCCGGCCGGCCAGGCGCGGTGCCTCGCTGGGACGGGGGCGGCCGGCGCCCCGCGTCTGGCAGTGCGCAGTGTGACAGAGACACCCAGTGCGCGGGTACTTACGGCAACTGACTGTGGCTGCGCGGAACTGCCGCGCGCTGACAGTGGACTGTGTCGAGCGCGAACAGAGGTCTGTGGTGCGATGTGTGGGAGGTGATGATGCTCAGATGCTGCAGAATGGACGTGACTGCGATTTTGTGACAATGAACCTGTGCAAGATGCTGTGAATCTGCAGATATGTGTTGTGGCGTCCGTGAAACGGTTAGCGATGTCTGTACTGAGCGTATGAATGGGTGAGATTGTTTTACGCGGAGTGATCTGTCGGCGCCTCATTTTGGAGTCGCTGAGGGCTCCGCGGGTGTCAGTGCGGTGTTATGGCGTCTCCGGTGCCCTGTCCCCGCGGTCGGCCGGCTGCTGCCGCCTCGGTCACTCGAGACGGAGGGCAGCCCGTCGGCCGCCTGTGCCGCCGGTTGTGTTGGTAGTCTCCCGAGTGAGCCGACAGCCCGTCATTCGACGTCAGCAGACCGTCATTCGCCGCCGGCCGTAATCCTTCGTGTGTTTGGTTACGTGCCATGAGGAACTATGGGCCACGTGCGCTATTTTCTCAGATTTGTATCACATTACGGTTTTGTACAAAATACATATTCCTTCGTTTACTGTTGCGAGGGTGTTTCTTTGAGGGGTGTCTGCCATTCACAGGGCCTGTGGCCTGTGGGAGTTGAGTGCTATGCGCCTAAATAGATCGCTGAAGCTAAGCTGTAAATACAAACGATTGAAGTGTATATACGTGTGCATAAGTGTACATTCATCCAATCAGCCACAGCAACACAAATGAATAGAAAAAAGATATTGGCATTAATGGCTGATCATGGCGTGAATTCAAGAAACAATGGTTGTGTGACAAAAAACATCCAAGTCAAATGAAAATCTTAGAGAAAAATGTTTGCTACTGTGAATTGATCTGCATTTCTGTCATCTATGCCGAGAAGGCATCCCACTAATTCAGCTCTTATATAACTGCACTAGACGATGACGATTGAGTAAGTTCTTGCGCTTGAAATCAGGTGCTGCTTACCCCATGAATCGAAAGCACAAAACTGCACATTTACGAGCTCATTGTTACATAAATATGAGTCTCTGTCGATAACACCAATCATCGACCAGTCATTGAAAAACAGCATTATCACAGTGCGATAACCAAGTCGCTTATGTCCTCAATCGCATAAGGACGACTTTACATAATACCCATCCGTTGGCGGAACCTCACCATGCACGACACATCTGTGCACACTTTGTTAGACCTGCACCTTGACAACCCATACTGAAGACATCAGAGTTGCCAGATAGCATCTACCACAGCGCTCTCACATAGCAAACGCAATTCTAGGTCGTTTAATTACCCGTCGTGCCATCTACCGTCAAGTCCAACACTTCTAGTTCTTCCAGCAGCCGCTCGGCTTCCGTGCGCCACCGCTTCAGTTCCTCCAGCCTCCCGAACTCCTCCCGCGCGAGCAGCCTCCTGAGCTCTCTACTCGCACATATTTTCACGTCATACACTAGATGTCCCCGACCGTATCGGTACCCATCCAGTCCCATCACCGGCTCTCCGCCAGCCAGCGCCGCCAGTCTCCGATTGATGGTAAAACACAGCAGCTCAGCCATCTCTGCTAGGTCCATACCGTGTGTGGCTCGGAGTAGGGTCTGACACTGCGATAGGAACTCATCCGAACCGTCTGCTATGTCTGCCAGCTCTGCTCTCACGTCTGCCAGCGAGGCCATTAGGTGGTCACAGACCAGATGAACATTGGACGCGTTGAACCAGTTGTGGTTGATTGAGATGGTGTCCCGGAGGTTCCACACCTGATGATGCCAGCCGGAGGGGACGAACATCACCTCTCCCGCCTCCTGACGAACGTCAAAGTACCGAACGCCGTCGGCAGAGGTCCGTGGCTGGAGGGGGACAACTTTTTCGCCACCTTCACCTTCCCCGTCGCTGTTTCTGACGCCGGTGCGGACCTGCTCAGAGCTTACTACGCTTTCCGCGCTCTCGGCATTCAAGACACTAGCGACATCAAACGGCAGTCCGGAGAGGCTGCGTAGTTTCTCCTCCTCACCAGGTGGCAGTAGGATCCAGCGTTTGGCGCCGCACACGTTAGCTGACCAACTGTACGAGCGGTATACGTCGGCGTGGAATGGGGTCCTGCAGGGGAGAGGGTGGAAGTCAGACAACGGGCTCAGCCCCGGTGACTCACTAGGGTGCCTGCCCAGACCAATGTCTCCCCCTATATCCTATCATCCTCCCGGCTCTGAAATGGTCCCATTGGACCGAAAGGGCCTAACCCAACAAAACAAACAAAAAGAAGTCAGACAGAACAGCCAGCAAGGGTCAGACACAGCGACCCGTGTCCAAGCTTCCGTGGAAGACGTCCGTATGTTTTGAGCCCTGTTCAACCAAGGAACCTCGTTCATTACCGACGACAAGAGATGTTTCAGCAAACGTCACCAAAATATTACCCCAATTAAAACGATCAGTAATATAGAACAATGTATAAGAAACTGACCACTTATGGCAGCCTCAATTTTCCAATATTCCAACCACCAAACCACAAGAGCGCACTCACCATGTTCCAGCGACGCCGACATAGACGAATCGGTAGTCATCTGCCTTCTCCGGCCGGGCCTCCCAGAACTCATTGAGCCAATCGGAGGCCACCAGGCGCGGAGTCCGGTAGAAGGGAGGGTCTTCCGGCCGGCGGAGCCGCTGCTCCCTCTGCAGGTGCCAGTCCTGTGGAGAGATGGGGATCGGGGCGGTTTGAGTCATTGTGGTTTTACGGAACGAAGGTGGTAGGTAAGTAATGATAAAGTAATACCAGATGAGCTTTGATTTGTTTACCATCCGCATGACAGGTGTAATGCGTCGTGTCATGACATGGAAGGTGTAATGTAATGCAAGTGAGGAACTTCGTTTTACTAGGAACTTAATATAGGTACAATTGAATTGGCCTCATTACGATAAATGGGACTGAAACTAAAAAAGTAGGCCTATATCGAGCCAAAATCAGCAATTCAAATCACCCCTTCATTTGAATGTGAAGGATTTCCTCTGATGACGTCACCACGGCGCCTTTATTTCCCTAGTGAACCAACCTGAGTAGTAAAGGAATCTTGGGTACAATAACATGTTGTTTGAATTTTAACATAAGTTGTTATTTTAGTAACTTTCTTCCTATTAGAGCGCTTGCTTTTCTTATGACAAAAGACTGATATCCCATTATGTTTTCCAAACATATGGCAAATTTACCTTCAGGTACAGACATCCTTGACGATTTGGTTGTCTCATGTAGGTCGCATACTCATCCAGAGTTTGCTGAGTCTTTGGCTGCGAGTCAAAGTACTTTTCTGAACAGTTGGCCACCGGAACTTCAATATCACCTGAAATGATAACCATTTCCTGTGTGAAAATATGCTACAATTGTCATGATTTTTCATCTGGTATTTCAGATGCATCCAACGATTGCAATTTAGAATTGTAGAATTATTGGGGAACCTACCAAAGTATTTGCAGATATCCTGAAGATCAGGTTCTCCTCTTGCATCAACCCAGTTCTTGCAAGCATCCCATTTATCTGTTACACCACATGACAGAATACATGGGACGTTTTTTGACAGAAAGTGGTGAAAGAAGTCTTCATATTTTGGCTCATGAAATAAAAACAAGAACTGTGGTTCAGGTTGAGCTGACTTTACATGACATGGAACTTGCAATGATAAGTTTAAATCAATATCCATTTTGATCTATGCAATGAGCACAGTCACACAAAATTATTTTCATCTCATTTGGTAACAACTATTCAGAATCATTTCCCAATGTAGGTACTTGACGTAGGTTCACCGCATCCGGCATCTGCAAGTCAACAACTGGTCAATAGGGAATGCAGACACTTAAAATACAAGAATGTGAGGAATGTGTTCCTATCAATATGGCTTAAAGGCCACTAATTCTAATTTGCCTTAGAAGTGTCAGTGAAGTCATTTATCCAATTTCCTTTTCATTGTCATTGAGGAGCAAAGCACGAAATTTAGTCATTTCATCAGTGCCATTTGAAGCAAAATATCATATATGCTAATGCCGATGTATGCTCGAAACAAGCAGGCAGGATCTGGGAACCAACAATTAGACAAAAACTAAAATCAAAAATGATCAGTTTGAGGGTATCAGTATACCACGTCTCAATCAGAATACTGGCAAAGTCCACATGAATATGAGTATGTGAATACGAACTTTGTATACATAAATCCAAAAAATGAGCATGCACATAAATCAAAAATATTTACACTTCACCATCAGCACAATTGTGCCACACATAATTTACTTTAATCAGCATATCTCGCCCACTATATTCAGCAATGCTATTTCCAATCGTGTTTTTATCATTCAAGCTTTTGTAGCTGATCCGACTTAACATTATTTTGATTTGCTGATTGTATGTCAATTGGCGCTACAAATGCAGAAGCAGCAAGACGTGAACATAATCCGAACAGAGAACATATGAAACTGCTGCGCCAGTTTCACCACTTAGAGTTGCTACCATATTTGAATGTAAAGGGAACTCTGAAAGGAAACTTCCTCGTCTGTAACCAGTGGTCGATAAAACTTCCAACGTGCCAACGCTCGTTGGAGCAAGATATTAGCAATACTTGGAAGAGCTGGAGACAGTCCGCCCGTCTACATGGATGCTTCCTTACGCCTAAAATACAGCATTGACTTATGACTTTCTAATCGTCCGGTGCTGTTATCGGCTGCTCGGTACCGCGTGTATGTTCCCTCATTCACTCCTGGTCACCCTTCGGTCACCCCTCGCTGGGTCGGGCCAGTCGGCTATTTTTATCCTCTTTCCGGCTAGGCCACCCGCTAAGCTCCCGCCGTGCCGCGCCGTCTGCGAGGGACCTGACCCTTCTGCCGGCAGAGGTTTCTCCAGGTGTCTCCAAGGAGCCATCGTAGCGCTAAGGGTGTGCTCCGCATACACATGCATTGATTTTCGCCCTTACTAGCAGGGCCGCTGGCACGCGTTGGCAGCGCCCCGCGGGCATTTTTTCGCTTAGGGTCATTTTGTGGTAAGGAGGATCAGAAAATCACCCTTCCAACTTTCTCCAGGCCTGGGTGTTTTATCGAGCGCGCCTGAAAACGCACAGTGGACCGGAATCACACTTCGATTGCGTTACTTCGTATAAGGTAATACGATCAAAAGTGCGCTCTTTTCTCAATCAATAAGGACAAGTGCGTTAAAACACACTTATAAAGTTTTAAGTTAAAAGCTTTAAAAGGCTAAATTTCAACATTTCTACGCTGATAATAATCGTTAGTTGTTTCAGACTTTGGCATGAAAACGTAGGCATTCAGATCCACCGTGTGACCGGTCACCGTATGCAGTAGTGTGATGGTGTGAGTTGGGGAGTCAAGGCCGTGTGGGGAGAAGGTGAGGAGATGCCGGTGTGCCGACGCGGCAATTGGCAGTGATTAGACAGTTGTGCATGCATTGTTCATCTAGCATATCATTTGCTTGGGCAAATTTATAGGCATGGCGCCTGTTTATCCGTCTGATTCAAAGGAAAGGTGTGAGTACCAATACTGGTCGTACTTTTCATAGTCATAGTCCAGGTCCTGAAATGACTGGCACCTGAAATTTTCAGGATATGTCGCAAGAGGCTCATTCCCAGACGTTGTGCCAAATTTTGCGGCGCTACGCGACACCACCTTTTACGCTATTCGCGAAAAAAACTTAGGGAGGCTGCATCCCCCCTCCCGCCAGGCGAGGGCTAAGTTGGAGACAGTGATGGGACTAAGATGTTCGTTGGAGCAACTCCAAGCATTTTATCGACCTCTGTCTGTAACTGCAAGCATTAAGCAATTTAACTTAATGGAATGCAGCCAAGAGTAGGTATATGGCCCTGCCCCAGGCTATTTATCATTACTGTCGTCAGAATATCAGCGCGGTTTTCACATGTGGCGTGTTATTGGCTTGGACAGCCACCGTGCCCGTGGTGCGCCGGCACCCTGTGCCTGTTGGCCGAGGCCGGCAGAGGCCGGGGACGGTCACGAGGGAATGACCTAACCATGGATTAGAGACAACCATGGATCAGAGATTTTAGCCTTTAGGTATCTCTTATCCATGACCTAACCTATCCTAACCTAAAATGTCCAGAGTATTAGAGAACACTGGCCTCGCAGCCCGGTCGTCCCACCACGCGGAAGCCTCGGCCTCGGGAGCCTGCTCCCACGGCCTTATAAGAGCCGCACTGAAAGTAGCTGAACTCATCGGGATGATCAGATCAGTGATAGTCGGTGGTCCGACTCCGACCGTTCAGGTCGGAACAGGGAGTTGAGGTATCAGGACAAGTGTGTGTTGAAGATTGCTGAGAGGGATCGACTGCCTCATGCCTGACGGTAGCTCAGGTCTCGGCCTCACTCCTTAGAAGGTCACAAAGTGTCGGTCTTCACTCAGTCAACAAACCCAGTGGCCAGTACGCATCTGTCGGAAGGACTTATTATTCGGAAAGCGGCTTTTACGATTTTCGATTCCATTCACCTTCCATCTGCGTTTCCAACAAAACACAGCTTGTCAGAGCTCGTGAACTGGATTTTCTACAAACATGCCATGGTAAAGCGATCGGGCTCCAATAAGCGCCAGTATATTTGGCAGTCAGCGCGAACGACCTACGAAGCCTACGCACTGCACCGAAAACTGATCAGCAGGTGCTCCCAACGACAGCCAGCACCAATGATTGCACACGTTACAGTTCGATCGGCGCCACACGGCACTGAGAGCGTCTGAGAAAACAGGTAATCACAACACCAGCACAACACTATACATGTCTGGACGCAACTGTCTTTGCACAGCAAGCGGACGATCCGAATCGGCGACAACCGAACTTATAGTCACTCGAAAAGGAGAACTGTCGCCTGGCTGTGAGACCACTGAGTGACGTAGACACCGCGAACGGCTAATCACTTCAAATTGAGAACCGGGAAAGGAAAGCGTTGTACAGGATGATTGAGGGTTAAAACAAACTGACGTGGGGAGTAACTGAAGACAAAAGATCCAGTTCCGCATGTGTCCACGCTGGAAGACTGAGCACAGTGCAGCTGCATTTAATTGTTTTTCGGTTATTTCAGTTATTCGAGTAAAAGGCGTGTCCTATCAGAACAGGTGCATTCCGTCAACAATAAACTAAAAGACGGCCTTGTGTCACCCACGTTTAAAACGAGGAATGTTTGACCGAAACAGATGTAGCTTACTTTTTTCAGCCATCGATAAGGTGAAACACAAATGACGTTTTTTTATCGAGGCAAGTACCTATCTAATAATAATCTGGTATGTCATCAGACACATGCCTGAACGAAATGTCTTCTTCTGTGTTCTGTTCATTGAGTTCGAACACCACATCCTGCTGCCTGCAGGTGCCGAGATTAGTCATCAGTCTTTAACTGTCAGTTTGCTAAAACAGTCACTAAACGAGTGCCAACAGGTTTTTTTTTAGAGAACTGTCCACCACATGACTATGCGTAGCAGAGCTCCGCTAAGAGGCAGAACAGTTCCCTAGTTTGGCTTTACACAGCCTAACAATGCCACCTCAGATTATGCTATAACTCATGTTACATGACATTCTGCTTGCAACTAGTGCATTCAACGTAATGGAGCGCAAAAATGAGCATTACACAGTACATCGTACTTCAACGAAACTCTGCTACCGCATGCGGCTCCGGGCTCGCACAAACGAACAGTTCGGGTTCGAGATCAAACAGAACCGTAGGCCCTGTCACTAGATACGCCGCATGAAAACACGACACTGATTTGCATTCTGGGCAGCCCATTGCCGAAAGCTCTTGCTGCTCCGTGCTTAGCCGGCAGCCCTGCTATAGTTCTATTACGCTAACTGGAACCGCCACACTGAAAGGGGTCGTTTGAACCTGGTGATTGACGACGACTCTTGACCCCCGAGGGTGTACATATACACCGGATAGTAGGGCATCAGAGTCTGATCGCACTCGTCCAGCACAGGGCTGCTGGACGGAGAGCGGCGACGCTCAGAGATTCCAGAGTCCCGAGACCGACTCAGAGGCGCCATCTCCAACTCGTCGTGCGCTCGCCGTGCTGCAGCGCGATAGCCGACGTAGTTGGGGTTATCGTAGCCGGTGATGTCGCAGTGCTCGATACTGGAGTAGTCGGACGTCACATCATCTGCTCCATGTGTGGTGCAGATGAGCCGCGCAGCCGAGCTTGTTGAGAGTCCTGAGCGGCTCGACACCCCGGAGCAACCCCTTGTGGTCAGCCGCGGAGAGCGATTTCCAGTTGGCATCGGAGGACACTGTCCCGGGTGGCGAATGACGCGCGACTCGCCGTGCCCTGCCGGGGACACCGCGTCACCCAAGAGGTCCGGGAAGGACACGTGATCTCTGGGGAACCCTCCACAGTCGGAGGTAGTGTCCACTGGCGGCATGGCGTACGTGCTGAACGACTTGGTCATGTCGCCCTGCCCCGCTCCGGCGGCCGACTGGCCCAGTGGCTGCATCTCAACACTGTCTGTGCTGCCGTTACTGAGCGCCGAGTAGCCGGGCTGCTGGCGGACGGCCAGGTTCACCTGGGATATCCTCCAGAGTAACTGACTGCCGGAGGCGTGCACTCGGGGCCAGGCACCGCCCGCACCGGGCCGCCCCGACCCTGACTGGGTCAGCCGCGCTCTCTCCTCGTTCTCCCCCACTCTCTCTTCACCAGCCTCGTCCACCGTCTCCGCCGGCCGCACCTGCACGCGCCGTTTCGCGTACAGCACGTCCGCGTGAACCACGGGCACCACCGGCCGGCCGGACTCGGTGGGCTGAGTAGTTCCGCCGGGCGCCGTCCGGCTGAGGGGGCGCTGCAGTCGCCGCCGCTCGGCTGGCAGCAGGAGGGCGCTGACGGCGACAGCGGCGGACTGGGAGCGGGGCGCCGGCTGCGGCTCGGTGGTCGGCACTCGCTCCCAGGTCTCCGTGGCTGAGGAAGAACAGACAGACTGTGAGAGGGCTGTCGACGAGAGAGGGATGAGGGCTCGGTTAGATAACGGGCTGAATGTCCGCACCTCTCGCCGGTCGGAGGAGAGAATGGGCAGACCACAAAGGGTCTGTTCCCGTCGCTCCTCCCAAAAAATCTCGGATGAGGTTGGATGAGCTTGGAGGAGAGCCGTTTCAGAGGAGCCACGGGAACATTTTCGCGAGAAAATCAGCTGTTTGCGGGCTGTAACGGTCGGCGATTTATGGCGCGCAAACATAAATCAAGAGATAATAATCGCTTTCTAATAAAATAACCTTAGATTAATGTCAAACATTACTATTTAAAGATATCCAATCGTCATCAATCACTAAAATCATTTCCACTTCCTTCAAATCGCATTTATAAACAATTCACATTTGTATTACGTGCGCCAAATGCGTCTACGCAAGAGCCTCCTCCAAAAAACCAACTTTCGTTTGGGATGAGGGAGGAGGCAAATAGATGTGCGTGAAGTTGGCGTCGGATTCGGATTCGTATTCAGCGTCGAGTACCGAATCACTTGAAAACGTCATATCTGGTCAATTCGGGGACGGGGAGCACGAATATGACATTAATTTTGCCCTAGCAGGTATCCCTTATCCCTTAATCGTCCCTTAAACGACGGGGCGCGCCAAAAGTGCCTCAAGGGTTCTTCCGATCACGAAAATAATGGTCCCAGGCGATTCCCCGGGTCGATATCTAGCCGCACCACCACTAACTTCACACGTGCCTCATATCCCTTATCCCTTAATCGTCCCTTAAATGACGGGGCGCGCCAAAAGTGCCTCAGGGGTTCTTCCGATCGCGAAAATAATGGTCCCAGGCAATTCCCCGGGTCGATATCTAGCCGCACCACCACTAACTTCACACGTGCCTCACATCCCTCATCCCTTAATCGTCCCTTAAACGACGGGGCGCGCCAAAAGTGCCTCAGGGGTTCTTCTGATCGCGAAAATAATGGTCCCAGGCGATTCCCCGGGTCGATATCTAGCCGCACCACCACTAACTTCACACGTGCCTCATATCCCTCATCCCTTAATCGTCCCTTAAATGACGGGGCGCGCCAAAAGTGCCTCAGGGGTTCTTCCGATCGCGAAAATAATGGTCCCAGGCGATTCCCCGGGTCGATATCTAGCCGCACCACCACTAACTTCACACGTGCCTCATATCCCTTATCCCTTAATCGTCCCTTAAATGACGGGGCGCGCCAAAAGTGCCTCAGGGGTTCTTCTGATCGCGAAAATAATGGTCCCAGGCGATTCCCCGGGTCGATATCTAGCCGCACCACCACTAACTTCACACGTGCCTCATATCCCTTATCCCTTAATCGTCCCTTAAATGACGGGGCGCGCCAAAAGTGCCTCAGGGGTTCTTCCGATCGCGAAAAGAATGGTCCCAGGCGATTCCCCGGGTCGATATCTAGCCGCACCACCACTAACTTCACACGTGCCTCATATCCCTTATCCCTTAATCGTCCCTTAAATGACGGGGCGCGCCAAAAGTGCCTCAAGGGTTCTTCCGATCGCGAAAATAATGGTCCCAGGCGATTCCCCGGGTCGATATCTAGCCGCACCACCACTAACTTCACACGTGCCTCATATCCCTTATCCCTTAATCGTCCCTTAAATGACGGGGCGCGCCAAAAGTGCCTCAGGGGTTCTTCTGATCGCGAAAATAATGGTCCCAGGCGATTCCCCGGGTCGATATCTAGCCGCACCACCACTAACTTCACACGTGCCTCATATCCCTTATCCCTTAATCGTCCCTTAAATGACGGGGCGCGCCAAAAGTGCCTCAGGGGTTCTTCCGATCGCGAAAAGAATGGTCCCAGGCGATTCCCCGGGTCGATATCTAGCCGCACCACCACTAACTTCACACGTGCCTCATATCCCTTATCCCTTAATCGTCCCTTAAATGACGGGGCGCGCCAAAAGTGCCTCAAGGGTTCTTCCGATCGCGAAAATAATGGTCCCAGGCGATTCCCCGGGTCGATATCTAGCCGCACCACCACTAACTTCACACGTGCCTCATATCCCTTATCCCTTAATCGTCCCTTAAATGACGGGGCGCGCCAAAAGTGCCTCAGGGGTTCTTCCGATCGCGAAAAGAATGGTCCCAGGCGATTCCCCGGGTCGATATCTAGCCGCACCACCACTAACTTCACACGTGCCTCATATCCCTTATCCCTTAATCGTCCCTTAAATGACGGGGCGCGCCAAAAGTGCCTCAAGGGTTCTTCCGATCGCGAAAATAATGGTCCCAGGCGATTCCCCGGGTCGATATCTAGCCGCACCACCACTAACTTCACACGTGCCTCATATCCCTTATCCCTTAATCGTCCCTTAAATGACGGGGCGCGCCAAAAGTGCCTCAGGGGTTCTTCCGATCGCGAAAATAATGGTCCCAGGCAATTCCCCGGGTCGATATCTAGCCGCACCACCACTAACTTCACACGTGCCTCACATCCCTCATCCCTTAATCGTCCCTGAAACGACGGGGCGCGTCAAAAGTGCCTCAGGGGTTCTTCCGATCGCGAAAAGAATGGTCCCAGGCGATTCCCCGGGTCGATATCTAGCCGCACCACCACTAACTTCACACGTGCCTCATATCCCTTATCCCTTAATCGTCCCTTAAATGACGGGGCGCGCCAAAAGTGCCTCAGGGGCTCTTCCGATCGCGAAAAGAATGGTCCCAGGCGATTCCCCGGGTCGATATCTAGCCGCACCACCACTAACTTCACACGTGCCTCATATCCCTTATCCCTTAATCGTCCCTTAAATGACGGGGCGCGCCAAAAGTGCCTCAGGGGTTCTTCCGATCGCGAAAATAATGGTCCCAGGCAATTCCCCGGGTCGATATCTAGCCGCACCACCACTAACTTCACACGTGCCTCACATCCCTCATCCCTTAATCGTCCCTTAAACGACGGGGCGCGCCAAAAGTGCCTCAGGGGTTCTTCTGATCGCGAAAATAATGGTCCCAGGCGATTCCCCGGGTCGATATCTAGCCGCACCACCACTAACTTCACACGTGCCTCATATCCCTCATCCCTTAATCGTCCCTTAAATGACGGGGCGCGCAAAAAGTGCCTCAGGGGTTCTTCTGATCGCGAAAATAATGGTCCCAGGCGATTCCCCGGGTCGATATCTAGCCGCACCACCACTAACTTCACACGTGCCTCATATCCCTTATCCCTTAATCGTCCCTTAAATGACGGGGCGCGCCAAAAGTGCCTCAGGGGTTCTTCTGATCGCGAAAATAATGGTCCCAGGCGATTCCCCGGGTCGATATCTAGCCGCACCACCACTAACTTCACACGTGCCTCATATCCCTTATCCCTTAATCGTCCCTTAAATGACGGGGCGCGCCAAAAGTGCCTCAGGGGTTCTTCCGATCGCGAAAAGAATGGTCCCAGGCGATTCCCCGGGTCGATATCTAGCCGCACCACCACTAACTTCACACGTGCCTCATATCCCTTATCCCTTAATCGTCCCTTAAATGACGGGGCGCGCCAAAAGTGCCTCAAGGGTTCTTCCGATCGCGAAAATAATGGTCCCAGGCGATTCCCCGGGTCGATATCTAGCCGCACCACCACTAACTTCACACGTGCCTCATATCCCTTATCCCTTAATCGTCCCTTAAATGACGGGGCGCGCCAAAAGTGCCTCAGGGGTTCTTCCGATCGCGAAAAGAATGGTCCCAGGCGATTCCCCGGGTCGATATCTAGCCGCACCACCACTAACTTCACACGTGCCTCATATCCCTTATCCCTTAATCGTCCCTTAAATGACGGGGCGCGCCAAAAGTGCCTCAAGGGTTCTTCCGATCGCGAAAATAATGGTCCCAGGCGATTCCCCGGGTCGATATCTAGCCGCACCACCACTAACTTCACACGTGCCTCATATCCCTTATCCCTTAATCGTCCCTTAAATGACGGGGCGCGCCAAAAGTGCCTCAGGGGTTCTTCCGATCGCGAAAATAATGGTCCCAGGCAATTCCCCGGGTCGATATCTAGCCGCACCACCACTAACTTCACACGTGCCTCACATCCCTCATCCCTTAATCGTCCCTGAAACGACGGGGCGCGTCAAAAGTGCCTCAGGGGTTCTTCCGATCGCGAAAAGAATGGTCCCAGGCGATTCCCCGGGTCGATATCTAGCCGCACCACCACTAACTTCACACGTGCCTCATATCCCTTATCCCTTAATCGTCCCTTAAATGACGGGGCGCGCCAAAAGTGCCTCAAGGGTTCTTCCGATCGCGAAAATAATGGTCCCAGGCGATTCCCCGGGTCGATATCTAGCCGCACCACCACTAACTTCACACGTGCCTCATATCCCTTATCCCTTAATCGTCCCTTAAATGACGGGGCGCGCCAAAAGTGCCTCAGGGGCTCTTCTGATCGCGAAAATAATGGTCCCAGGCGATTCCCCGGGTCGATATCTAGCCGCACCACCACTAACTTCACACATGCCTCATATCCCTCATCCCTTAATCGTCCCTTAAATGACGGGGCGCGCCAAAAGTGCCTCAGGGGTTCTTCCGATCGCGAAAATAATGGTCCCAGGCGATTCCCCGGGTCGATATCTAGCCGCACCACCACTAACTTCACACGTGCCTCATATCCCTTATCCCTTAATCGTCCCTTAAATGACGGGGCGCGCCAAAAGTGCCTCAGGGGTTCTTCCGATCGCGAAAATAATGGTCCCAGGCGATTCCCCGGGTCGATATCTAGCCGCACCACCACTAACTTCACACATGCCTCATATCCCTCATCCCTTAATCGTCCCTTAAATGACGGGGCGCGCCAAAAGTGCCTCAGGGGTTCTTCCGATCGCGAAAATAATGGTCCCAGGCGATTCCCCGGGTCGATATCTAGCCGCACCACCACTAACTTCACACGTGCCTCATATCCCTTATCCCTTAATCGTCCCTTAAATGACGGGGCGCGCCAAAAGTGCCTC